ATGGAAGCTTTCCCATAGGGTTCAAAAGGACATTTGCTGTTAGAGTCTGAGCAACATAATTATTCGTTTCAGCCATCTTACTTTATAATTAGTATTTTTCACTTTACTTTGAATGCTTCTGACAGCAAATATAACAATATTACTGTATACAAATAAAACAGCATTTTCTTTATAACTTATAACAATACACACGTGTTCTTTTTTAAGTCAATTTCTGACTGAATGTAGATCTAATGTAAGATACTGATTGTTTTTCCCTCTTCATGCTGGCTGCATCCAACTTTACCACTTTTTGCCATTTGGTTCAGGTTCCTATTTATATTTTGTGATTGTGTTTTTCATGCTAATATCTTGTTAATGATAAATCTTTTACAGTGGGAAGTTTGACCTATGAATCAGAGGTTGAGGTAGTCCTAGAACAAGTATTAAGCATACTGGTCTTAAACAGGACTTCGGTCAGTGTGTACCTTTCACCACCAGAGGGAGTAAAAGCATCACAGATCACCGAGCTGTGAGGCGGTGATGTTTAGTGCAAATTAACTTCTGTATACAGCAGCTTTGTATTGAAAGCCAGTAGTCCTTTTATTCTAAACAACGCATCCATGAGCAAAATGCTGCCTGGAAAAGCAATCTGTTGCTTTGTCTTTCAACCTGTATCATTTTGAATGATATGACAGTGCTCTGCTTATTTTATCGAATATGTCGGTAAACCAGGTATGATCATTCGCTTAAGGGTACAATCAATTATTTTACCATGTTAAAAATGAACTGAATTATACGGCAGTATGAAGCAGAGCCATAAAGAAATGTGATTGATGTTCTGTATTTTGTTATCTACCGCTGAGAAAACTGAGGTACCATTATAATTAGCCATGATGGAAAATACCCAAACTTCATAAATAATGGTGTCTAGGCACGGCAGTTTGAGATAATAATAAGTGGGCGCCCTGGTTGAGTCCACAGTGGGTGGAGTGAGAGAGAATAAAAGAGTTGATGCACAGAAGAGACAGTTTAGTTCACTCCCAGGACTGAACTCAGCTTTGGAATAAAACCCACATCGCATTGAACTCAGAAGACTGCTTGTGTTTTAATAGAGTCTACAAATCGTGTGGTGGAGGATCTGAACTCATATGGCTCGGGTGAAGACTGACTAACCTGAAACCAAATGTCTCCTTTCAGGTCCAAATTAGACATGCATAGTATAAGATATGACACAACTATTCTCCAGTGTCTTTAGAAGCTGTATTAAATAAAATACTACTCATACTCTTACATCTCCTTACAAGAGAGTATATATGAAATTGATGTTTTTCAAAAATGAAGTATACTTTGGACGTGAAATATAACACTAGTCTTCAGCATCATCAATGACCAGTTAATGTAATTTGTTGTACTACAATCCATCTTCAAGCTTTTAAGATATTTACACTTAAGAAACTAAAGACAAAACATTATTTTCCATTGGCTGGATTTGCTTGATGAAGCAGGGGCAAAGATCCAGTCTTATGACAAAGGTAGATAGACAGTAGGGGGGAGCAAGTAAGTATAGACCACCAAAACCATCACTACACCACCAGCAAAGTGACCTCATAGGAAACTACAACCATCTTCTTCCGTCAGGAAACATCTGGGCCAACACTAGTTTCACGACTCATCAGCACAGAAAAAAAAACATAGAGCAAGGGTGGAAGGGCGTGTCATAGCAAGGGAGGGGATAAAGGACCCTGGCCTGGTTTCACTTATACCTCTGTGGCAGAGGAGTAATCAGGAGGATTATAGGGGCAACAAGGAAATGACCCTGTAATTCATTATTTCCACTGAAAACTCCTCTGAGGAAGCAAGAAGTGAACTTATAATGTATATCAGGCCTTTGATTCAACATGTTCAGCAGTTACGTGCTATCCTAAATTAAAAAAGGAACATCAAATAATATCTGCTAAAATGTGAGGATTTGCTGCAGTTTCCATTTTTTATCATTGGATATTGAAAATCTTTTTTGGTCTAAAAGAACTATTTGAAGACGTCACATTGAGCCATGGGAATGTCATGCTTCCTGCATTTAACAGACCAAAAGAAAATAATTGTAAGCTGTGGCTCTAGATTAGACTAATGGGGAAAATGGCCTATAGATTAATCAATAATGAAGATCATTGTGGAGGCAAATTATACTAAACTTGGCCAAATGTACAAGCCTGTCCACGCTTTTGGTCTTGGGTCATTTTTCCGGCTTTCAGCTAGGTTTCAAACTATTGTGGAAAAGCCTTTCACAGATTGGAGGATGCAAATCAGGAAGCAAATCAATAGTTTTGGAATTAGACATTCAACTATCACATGTGGCTGTAATGTTAATGTGGCCATACCGTGTAAAGCAACAGCAATATACCAGGCAGTCAACGCTACAGCCAGCACGAGTTGGCACAGGTCACTCATACTACAGAGAGGCAGTACTAAATCAATTTCAAGATTTGTGTCACACCAAAATGCAGTGATAAAAGTCAGTTCCTAACCTGGTGAATGTTTCAGACTCATCATGCAGCTACAGCAGCCATGTCAACACTACACTCCAACCCTCTCAGGATGTGGCTGTCTTCTCCCATGCTCTGTTTTTGTCGACAGAACTGCACCATCACAGGATCACCTGTTGGAAGACACTTCAATGAATGACTTCAATATTTTCTGCTGCAGCTTTGAAATTTCATTTCAGGACTTCTGCTTCAGAATGAAGAAGATTTAACTGAGCATCTAAAGGAATAAATGTATCTGTACACTTTGGTTTGACAATGTCTGCCTTAAGAGACTCCAACTTTCATCTTGTAAATATCTTACGAAAAGTCGTGATCATGCAAAACACTTTCTAAAAAAAACACACTGTCTATCGTCTATGTCTCATCACAGTTACAGAAGCAGACATGAGTCATGTCACTGGTGAAATACATATAAAAAAAATCACTTACTTAGGTAAATTACAGGATGTCCTCTTTCAACTTAACTGTCTGGGTTAATAAAGTCACAGCTTAGGAAAGTCTTAAGTCTTATAGGATTCTGTAAAAACTTCAAGACAGTACTAAGTGCTGTTAAAATGACCTTGGTTTTTCAAATCTTGTGAGGGATTTATCCTCCAGAAAAAATGTGATGATAATACATTAGTGGCATACATTTTCTGGGCCCAGAAAATACATTTACATCTTTAAAGAAGAAGGAAGTAAACATACTTGTTCACACTTGTTAGCTAGACAAAATCAGTTTAAAGTTGTATTGGTGTATTGGACAGGCAGCCTCAAACATTGCAGCTTTACACACCTGTTTGTTATCATGAGATGGCCTTACTGATAGAAAACTAAAGTCCTACTGCTTTTAAATATTTTTTTTTCTGTCACAGACAGAAAAAAAGATCACAAAAAGAAGCCAGCTAGCTAACATGACAAGGAGCTACCATAACACGTTTGCTAGCTAGCTAAAGTTTAGGCAAATGCCCTGGCCAAATAAATGATTCACTCCCATCAGAAACACAAACAGAAGAGTCGTACAGCCACTTATAAAGCACTACCCAACTCTTTACTTGAACCATTAGTCCCAGAGGTAGTTGTTTATTTGGTTCTTACCGGCAGCAGCACCTCCTCCTGGAGGGTAAAACGCTCCACGCTGGAGAGGGGCCGTCTTCACACCTGCTCGATGGTTCATTGCGAGGCAACAAAAGTACCTGACCAGTGTTGCCAGATTTGACTAGCGGTCCAATCAGAGGCTAGAACCCACCCCATCGTCATAAGTGTGCCGAATCTGTTATTACCAGTTCCTGTTTGCTATGTACCATTTTTGTCATCACAACTACAATTAATTACTTTTATACTGAAGAAAACTTTAAAAACGTGATGATTCTCAGACTTCTAAGCAAGTTAATGGGAGTTTATTTGCGATAGAAATCCAAGATAATTGTATCCTGGGAAAGTGTAAATCACAGTGAATCTAAAACTGTTCATAAGTGGAAACCGGCCCAATGGTAGAGAAAGTATAGCAAAATATAACAACCCGACCACATCAATATTAACCTGCCCAATTAAAGAAAATGTAGTCTAAGTGGCGGAAACTGCCCAATCTGGCAACACCATAACCGACTAGTCTAATTATTAAGGGTTTTCAACAACATAGTGTCAAACTTACAACTTATATTACATTAAAAATGAGTTAAAAAAATTATGTTAATGATTAAAAAACAGTAGTGTTTGTTCCTAGTCACGAGGAAGCATGATTTTCTTGAATTATGAAAATCACACTAGAATTAAATTCAGGGTTTCCAAAAAGGACCCAAAACAAAGACGTTTTTACATCATTTGGATTCATGATCACATTGTGTCCCTTTGCATTGACTACACTTCACTGAGCTAATCAAGTCATTTCATTTTAAACTTTAACTAAAGTTTCAAGCAATAGAGACATTATGAATAAAGTAAATTCAAAGTAACATGTTCAAATTTGGTGAGGGTGTAGATTGGTACTACATCTAAAGGAACAAGGAAGTAAGCTTGAATCAGACACAATCAATACTGTTCAGAAAGCCATTGATTGAATTGATCAATTTAAAGAATGTAGTTTGTGGTGCTGATGAATTGTATTATGTTATACTGACTGGTGTTTCTATTATTTTGTCCAGCTCATTCATATCACTGAGGGTAAACGACATCAACACCTGTCTAAAAGAGAGTCAACAAAACTCAACATTATAACCTTCATGGAGGTGGATTTATTGCAGGACTGCATCAGTTTTAGCAAGGTGTACCTAATAAACTGGCAAGTGAGTATATAAACCTTATCCTCAGTGTCAGTGTCAAACGCTGCATTGCTTAGCAGCGATCAGGTTACCATGGTAGCATCCCATCTGTAAGACAACATGACAGTGTACACACCCATTGACCTTATGTGATGATCATGTTACTTGTAATGCATCATGTGACAGTGGATGTGATGGCATGCTGGAAAAAATGCAATAGACAGTTTTACGCCTCTAAATGTCAGTTTATTCATTTCAATGCAAAAATATTACACAGTAATAGTCATTTCATCACCAGATTAAACCAAGCAGAGGTACAGCCTAAACACAGTATTAGCTCAAATACTGTATGTTTGACCATATACATCCTTAACATTACCATTGCATAAGTAGTGAACCCATTGAAAAGAACCACAAGAGGCAACATTCCTCTAAAAGAGCAGATTTCTCATTTTCACTTCATTATAGCAAATGAGTGAATTCCACTGAACTGAAATGGACAATGAGAAGATTCCAGTGTGAACAAATGTACAATAAATCAAATTATATTGCATTTGTCACATTTCACATGTACAGTGAACAAAATTAAAACCAGGATAAATGACAATGACCTATATAAGAAGCTACAACTAATGATTGTTTCACCACATAGGGTCCAAAGTAATAAAACATCTGATTTTTTTATATAAACTTTTGTTTAAAAAAATATCCTGTGAAAGCTCCTGAATCCTGGAGGGGGCTGGAGCTTACAATGATTACACAGAAAAGACAATACAGTATTGGGTAATACAGCACAATGGAACTGAATTGATTCATACCAGCCTATCAATGAGGGTGGATGTTCATGCAGATCATGCCTGAGTAAACAGCATGCTACAACAACAAGTAGCAGCCCACACACCATGCTCCATTCACCTCATTACAGAAAAGTCAAATTTGCACATAAAAGATTAAAACATCTCCAAAAACTAAAACAATAAAAATGGATCAAAGCCCTTGTGTGCGAGGCCCCTGTCCCGTCGGCTGCATTCATTTCTTCTGGCAGTAGGTTTTGTAATTGCTGCAGGCCTTCTGCATGTCTGTTAAGAAACCTGGAACCCCACTCTGTTTCATAAAAACACAAAGTGGATTTGTCAGTGAGCATCACAAACACATGTGCCAGGAGGACCCACCCAAGGAGGGGCAACGAAGTGAGGAGCTGATGACATCACCCTGCCACACATCTGCTCACAATCATGATGGAAAACCATAAAGCAGGCGGAGAGATGGAGCTCTCTGAGGCCTGTGTGTGAACTCTTTTAACACCCTCTTTAAAGCCCTCAGCAAAGACCTGTTTGTGTAGGACAACAATGAACATATGTACATTTCAAAGATCACGATATGCTGGCGGGAAATAGTCATGTCACAATTTCCATGTCAATAAAAGTCTTAATATCTTTAAGTCTGTATACAAGCATAATAAGCTAAACAAATAAAATAAAAATGCTGCTCAGAGACAATAAACAAGAATGTCAGCCTGGCATTTTAATGTGGAGAGGGGAAACTACAGTTTTCTGACAAGACAGACTAAAATATGTGAACGAGAACAGCTGAATCGTGAGATTGGTTGTATTAAAACACAGTATGGGTGATGATGCAGAGCAGGAGGGGGAAAAAAATGGAGCTGAGGCTCAAGATGTTGTGTGTTACATATCAATATACAGTGTATCCAGTACCACTACTCTATGTCTTTTCTCTCCTTTGTGCAGCTAAGGAAGCATAATCCTCATGAAGCCCTTCAAATCTTTGTTGAGACATGAAGCTAGTTCACATAAACTACACCAACAAATCATGCAAAAGTTACATGAGATATTTCCTTGTCACTATTTCAATTACTTACAATTTACTTCCAAAACATGAGAATAAAAACAACTTACAAACTCAACTCTGCACTTCTAATGTTTGACAGGAGGCCTTGATTCAAACCACTCATGTTGAGTCACACTTTATTTGTCTCAGTGAGGAGGAAATTCTCTGCATCTGACCCATCTGTAACTGCTCAGTGACGCCAGTAACCCTTAAGCTACTTAATGGGTCAATCAGATTTAAAGCGGTAACATGTTTTTGTTTTTTCTTGAATGGATACTTGCATCATGTTTATATACTGTATTGCAGTAAAATGGAACTCGCATGCACTCACCTTAGCTGCCCAGTTCACCAGCCAGGTAGGAATCATACCGCCAGGGTTGTCGAAGTAATTCAAGAAAACTAAAATAAAGCACAAGCTTATTCATGATGATAGAACTGCGACTAATGTGACAGTTTTCAGAGATTTATCTATTGAACATCAGCTTGATTATTTGAACTGTTTTTGCACACATTTCTCCTGTAATGATGTATATTCATATCAGAAAAATATCTAAATTAATCTTGCAATATTAATTTCATCCATACTTCCTGCTCCTACCCAAACATATTCAAATGATATAAAACTGAAAAAGGACAAACATAAAAAAAGTGACAGCAGTATCATTGTGTTCCCTCATCACGTGTTACCTCTAGTCCCACAGGCTCCGTCAGCCTCCAGGGCAACGCTCTGCTTGTAGTCTTTGACCCGCAGCACGCCGCTCTTCTCTGCACACGCCGTCTCTGGAGAGCTTCTGGCCAGGATCACCCAGATCTTCCTGCCGTCCACATCCAGGTCTCTCCTGTCCCTAACGTACACATACTGAGGTTTGGATTGTCAGGGAAGATACTCTGTGAGTATGCTCTCCATAACCACCTCCTTTTAATTCTCCCACAAACTAATTGATGTGGACTGGGTGTAAATACATTTTTAAACCGGAAGGATACATCTCTATTTGACAGAGGAAACGGGTATTTCACTTCCCAGTAGATTGCTGACTGTCCACTGAAGTCCTTCTCATAGAGCTCTGAATAAAGAAATGACAAACTTAGTAAAAAAAAAAAGCAGCTAAACATCGGCAGTAGATGGAGGGATACATCATACACTGAAAAGTGATACAAAAGGCTGTAATAGTAATCCCAGAGAATCTCTGCCACATTGATGCCCAGTAGTATTTTCACAGTTTCATAACTGCTTCCATTAAAAAGTTAATAGCCAGTCATTTTGGATGAAAATCAAAAGCAAAATTCAACATCAAATCAATCTATGTCTGGTAGTGCCATAGTTATGGCTTAAAAATTCAATTTATATCATACAATTTGAACCAGCATAACCACTAAGTCAGTTGTTACTTTTGATTCTGAAAAAAATAACCCAAAAAAACACTTTGTTGGGGGAAAACCTGCATGTTTTTTTGAGGGAAGACAAAAGAAAAGACTCCACTACGGACAACAAGACTATCCCAAAACGCATCCTATGATAGAGGACAGTGCTACCTCTACAAAAATCATCTAAAACTTTTACTAATATACTGCATGCGATTCAAGTTGGATTTTTCTTTCTAAGAGACTAGGTAACTATATGACTATATGTCTACAGACCACAGCTACTGTACAACATGTTACCTTGTTACTGTAGATGTGCATGAAGGCAAGGATAAAAAAAATCAAAAATATCACTTCCTTATAAAACTGTAACAATAAAACCATTCCTATATGCAGAACATTATTTCAAGACAAGAAGATCTAAGAAGAAAAGACCATGACAACAAAAGGCCATGTGTGCTGCAGCCAACAAACCATGGTGAATGTCAGAAATTAAACATTACTGAAACTAATGTGAATGTAAAGTCTATTTCTTAGGCAGAGGAGAGATGAGGGATTTGATTTGGACAATGACAGTGTGAACCTCGCCTTACTGGGTTTTTTTTTTACCTTTCACATATCCATCCCAATGTTTCCGATAGGTCAAGTCCATGTAGACATCTGCACACAGCTCTGGAGTGCAGGTGGTGAGCACACCAAAGACTTTGTACTCATAAAGTCCAGTTTCCTGAAAACAGCACATGAAAGTTCTGTATTCTAACTGCAGGCAGCAAGCCACACCCCACAGTATGTAACTAATCCCAAACCACATAACTCTGATTAGAGCCACTCTGTGTTACACCCTTTCTCACTCTGAGTGAGGAAGTGTGTTGGATTTGATTCAGAAGTTGAAATATAGTTAACACCCTTAACTGCAATAAACATTTGCAGATTTTGGGGCTGACTTTATTTCAACTTGAATTAAAAAAAGAAGCAAAGTCATACCAAACTCAATTTAAAAAATCCATAAATTTAAGGTTTCTTAATTTTCCCTTTTTTGCAGTGGACAGCATGTCAAGGCCCCTAACCAAATTAATTCGTTGAAATCTTTAAAATATTTTGGGGAAAAGTGCATTATGAAGATTTTCTGGAGACTGGAGAACATAGTTCAGTGTGTGAAAATTTCAATTAAATTAAGAAACTGATTGAATGATTTATTTAAGACAGAAGATTGGTAGCAGTAATACCGGAGGTGTGTGATGAACTTCATATACAATATCAAGTTCTCATTCATATTTTAACATGGAGACTTTTTGCATTTTCTCTTGTTAATTTTTCCTCATAAGAGACAGAGGTAAAGGAGAGACAAAAGGGTTGAAGAGGATAGGATTTCCACTACAAAGTGCATTGTTTTTTGTTTTATGTAGGCTATTTCATAAATACTTTTTCATGCATTAATGACACCCAACATCAGTCAAAATAAACAGAAGTCATTGTATTATTCCCAAGTAATTGTATTGCTCCAAAGTAATTCCCCAAACAGCAGTTTTACAATTTAACATTGGACCTCTATTAAATTCAGTTTAAAATGATTAAAGGCTACTGCCTACATTTGTAAGATGTATGCCGAGTTGAATAGTGTATTCCATTATCCATCCAACATATTCAATAAAGTATGCATAGCTGGCCAAATGTGAAGTAGAAATAAATTGGCGGGGTTCTGAATGGAGTTTGGTGTGACTGGTACAGGCGGTTTGTGAATCAAGGGAAAAACACACCGGCTCTCGATCTATTTCCGGATATTTCCCATGCTTGCCGCTAGGAGACCACTACCGATGTGATTATGCAAATATGTTGTCAATAAATTAAATTCTATGAAACATAAATGTCACAGCCTATCATTTTGGAAAAGAACGAGTGGGACTGGGTGATATTACTACAGCGACGCTACAGGCTGACTCAAATTCATTCATACATTCGTTAGGTTCCATTTCATGTAGTGAAATCTTAGCAGTTGTCTGTACCTTGTCATAGAGGCGGTAGATTTTGACTCCCATCGTCTCAGTGAAGAGTTCCCATCCTCCCTCCAGCTGCGGCTCATCCAGCTCCCTCCACGCGCTTTGAAACTCCTCATCTGTAAACTGCAGCGACATGACGGTTCCTCTCACACCACCTGCCTCCCAGCAGTGACTCCAACACCAGGTTTCCGGTCAATACTTTCAAAATAAAAGAGGAAATGATGGATGTATTGTATCCATCAATCTAGATAGTGTATTTTAAGTTAATTTTTGCTATACTTACGCGCTGTTACTCAATCACCATTTTCAAAGAAGGACATTTAGCTACCTGTTTGTTTGGTGTTGTTGCTTCTATTCTAGTAAAGGATCTAAATCTGGTACTTCACAACAAGATTTTATGTTTCAAAGACTTTTCCTCCACTCCTCTCCAAAGGAAAAACCCTGTTTTTTGAGGCAGTTATCTGACAACTTGTTTCTTTTTAAGATTAAGAAAGATTATAGCAGCATTCAACATATGAGAAGCGCATAAAAATTGTTAGTAATAGATTTCAGTCATCTTCCAGGATCAGCATTAGAAGTAGTATCAGTTGCAGGTGGTCCAGATATATTTGTTCCAATTTGCATCATATTTTATGATTGTGTCATATGTTTTGTAATTAAAATAACATGTTATGTAAAATCTTAATATACAAAATCTATTACTACTATTATCATATAAATGTAGGAGGAAAACTATAATATTTAATTGTACATAGTCATATAGTATTATGAATGTATCATTTAGTATTTGTGCCTATATTAGTGGGTGAAGTGGAGAGAGATGACAGGAAATTAGAGGAGACAGAGTGGAGTGGCTTTGCCCATACTGTATGAGCATTAGTATCAGCCATCAGAAAATGCTCAGTAAGAAATACAGAACTGATATTTAAATTACTGATATGAAAATACAAAAACTTAAATGCAAATAAAGCGTCAGGCTAAATTAAATCAAATGGAAGAGAGAGTTTCTGTTGCTTTGACAAAATAATAAATTATAGACAAAGGAATACAGAGTCACGCTTATTCTAAAACTGTGAGTTTTTTTTCCTACACACACTATGAGAAACATTCTTGTAAATCTTTGTCTATAGAACATAATAGAGCTGCTACTGGGTTTCACCATTAGTTTTGGTTCGACATGCAATCATTTGTGTCTTTCATTTTTATAATTATCAAAATCTTGTACATTTCAATGAGGACAAGCAAATAGTTTAAGAAATGTTGTGTTCAATTTTAACGTTAAACAAATTGCCCACAATTAATGGAGACAGTTGATGCCAGGCAGGTGTACACACAATGCAGAAGGTTTTTGCCCCATAAATAAGATTAGTCCTCCCAATAAACCAATAAAAACTGAAATTTGCTTATGGCTACAAACAAAAATGGTGCGTAATAGAAAAAATGTAGGCTAACATAATATTGTTTAAAATACTTCTACCTGAAGCTGAAGAGCCAAAAATTTTCTATCCTTCCACATATTTAAAATGATCAATTAACGAAAAAAAACGTGAGCACCACCGGTTTACCAAAATAAAAAATAGTCACGGAAATACACAAATTCGGACTTCAAAATAAATGCATCCAATGAACTGAAATAATTACAAATTGCTCTCACAACGACATGCGATTTACTTTGAAATACGCAACCGGAACTGGTAATTTCTCTTATTTTTCTGAGCTTCACACTCCAGTCATCGATACTTGAAATAGTTGTTCTCAATGGGGATGGCAGTCAAGCTCTTAACCTGGGGACGTTACAGACGGACGTTTCTCATGAATGGGAGTCAGATTCCAGGCCGAGGAGAGACGCTGTTTGTTGTCAGACGCAAACAACACTCACTTTTAATTACATCAATCTGATTGAATATTTTAAGAGCGCGTTTTTTCAGAGACAAGTTTCGCCGCAGCGGAGGAGCACTACTCTGGAGACTGGGTGACATGGAAAACAGCTGTGAGGTAACTTCACTATTCTTCTTTCTATTCAAAGCTTTGTCGAACATGTCAAGCAGGTTGACCGCTCTGCGAAAAACAAGGGAAAGTTGCGGTATAATGATAAATCAAGTCAGTTAATCCTGTAGTTTTACATGGCGGGGGTGCAGATTCATTTGCTTAAAGTTTAGAGGACTTATTCTTAAAGTAACAACTTTAGGCTGATCTTCAGTTACAGTAAACAAACTTTAACTTCAGCATGTAAAACACTCTAAAAACAAACTAAAACGCCTGCTGTTGATAGTAATGTGGACTGTCATATCACAGACTCCATCTCTCTGTTACTGGTTTTCTTTTTGTTTTAAGCTGGGTCGTAACAAGCTTCACAACTTGGAGCTTTTTCTCTAATTCACTCCCTTTAATTAATCCTTGGTCACAAACTCCACTTAAATCTTCAGTCTGTCCGGATGAATGTTTCCAAGCCATGTAGAGCTGCAATGATCAGTCATTAATCAACCAACAAAGAAATCAATCTACAACCATTTTGATAATTGATTTATTATTATTTTATATTTTCTATTCTATTACACTAAACGAATATCTTTGGGTTTTGGACTGTTTCTTGGACAAAACAAGATATTACTTTGGAAATTCTGATGGACATTATTCATTTTATTGAGAAAACAATTGACAGATGAATCAATAATAACAATAAATTGATGCAACAATATGAAAAGAATCGGCCAATAGAAACACACCCAGGTGAACAGAAGAAATAAACTTATTGTTGTGCTGCACTGTTGAAGTTAGTTTAATCAGAGAATAAAAGACTGAACTGAATTTTCTCATCAGAAGTTTTTATTATAATTTAAAGCTTCTGTTTCCAGAGAAGAGACTGAAAAAAACTTTTCTTCAGTGTAAGTCACAGGGATACAAGCCTTTTATAAAATGTGGATCTGCAGTGGTTCCCAACATTTTTATGTGACCTCTCATCAACCAGATTGACATTCCCTTTCCCTTCTCACCATGGTTTTTAGATTCCTGAAAATGTCAAAGTCTCCAGTGTTTAGAAGAAGAATTTAAACATAAATTTGTGGAGCAGAAATGTTTCTTCGTTTTTTCTTCTAAGTCAGTAAGCATCGTCCGACCTGTCAGATTTATCTGCTGACCCCCTCATAAAACTGTCAACAGATAACAAAGGGAAAATTTCTAAATTTCTTTTAATTGTTTGGATTATCTTGATCCTTTATTTATGCAACCCAGTGTTTCCTCTAGGTTGACTGCAATGATGGGGCTTTTTTTAGGTGGGGTGGGGGCTTAGCTGCTAGCATCCTCACTTATGTTACCACATGTTGTGTGTTTAAAAACAAAAAAAAAACTGTCCATCTTTGGTATAACTTGTTGGAAATCTTTTATTGCACTTACGTAATGATTTGTCCACTCTTTGTGTGGGGAGGGGCTAAGACACGATGAAACAGGAAGCAGAGAAGAGAAGAGAAGCACCACTGTACATGACAGCAAAACGCTTTAGAGACTCTCACACTAAGCTGAAATGAAATGAGTGCACAAACATTAGGTAAATAACATATATATAATCAAATTTATTATATATTTTAAGTTCACACAGAAGTTTTCTACTCTTATTTTTTGAGACACTGGATGCCTGTCTCCGTCTTCATAGAGGTTGGTGGACAGTGTAAAACACCAGAGACAACGATGGGAAGAAGTCCAGGAAAAGGCTTTTCCACACTGTCAGGAGACAGTTCTGATGGAGAAGAAGTGAAGCTTTTATTTTATTCCTAATTTTGTTTTAAAAGCAGTCCAAAAATACTGGATTCAGCCAATTAAATACTCATGTGTAATTTTAGTGAGAATCTGCCAAAATTTTACCCAAAATATAGAGTATATAACCTTAGTAGGAGCTAGGGGGCTGTTCTTTTTAATAACAGAAATACTAAATGACCCGTGTTTGTAAACCCTGACAATGAAGGAAAGTATAACTGAAACCGTACTTCCCACTTATTGTCACTCAGCGTCTGAATCACATCTTTCCACACACCAGACGTGGGGGTGGGTGGGTGGGTGGGATGAGTGCTTGTGAAATTGCTGGTGATTTTGAAGCTCCTCGCATTTCACGGAGCAGTTTGTAATGTCATATCCTGCGCTCTCTAGGGAATGTCTCAGCTCGTGCTGGTCTGAGTGGTCCTGCGTCATTCAGACAAGTCCTCTGACTGGGTCAGAAGGCGGCTGGGACTGTGCAGAGAGGTTACGTGGGTTTATTAAAGCAGCATGTGGTGGTCAGAGAGTGGTGGTGAATTGTGAAATGTGGGATTGAATTCCAACAAAAAGCATCTGCAAGGTCTTTTGTTTTTCCCCCTGCAGAGCTGAGTCCAGTGTTGAGCAACACGCTTGACTCTTTGCTCTCCCTTTAATGAATGGTTTCTTTCTCCACACAGACTGGGAGATGCTAGCAAGGAAAAGGGGTAAAAGGGCAACGCTGAGGAACCATCTGTGGTTGGTTTAGAGGAGACTGCTGAACTCTGCAATGCCCGAAGACGCTCATAAGGACGCCATGAGAACACCTGCGACCCCGGAGAAGGCCAATAACAATGAGCGCCCTGCAGCCACTGTAACGGCGGTCAACATCCCCCTGGTCAATGAAGTCCAGCTGACTGCAGCCACCGGTGGGACGGAGCTGTCCTGCTATCGCTGCACCGTCCCATTTGGCATAGTGGTGCTCATCGCGGGCATCGTAGTCACCGCCGTGGCCTACAGCTTCAACTCACACGGATCAACCATCTCGTACTTCGGCCTGGTGCTCCTCTCGGCCGGACTGGTGCTCTTAGCGTCCAGCGCCGTCTGCTGGAAGGTGAGACTGGAGAGGAAGAAGGAGAGGCGACGAGAGAGCCAAACCGCCCTGGTCGTGAACCAGAGGAGTATTTTTACTTGAACTTGATCAGTTTGAACAACACAAATCTTGATTTCTAGAACCTGTAAAGGCCTGATCTTCACATGGTTTGGAGCTGGAGAACCAACTGTAGGCAGATGTTGTCCCCCATGGATGTCCGACCTGTAAAAGCTTTGACCGCAGACTCTCAAGGCCCAGAACTTAAACCTTTGAAGGCATCGTAAGGGATCTATTTGTCAAACAGACGCTGAGCATCTGGCGAACTGGGAACTCAGCCAAAAGGAATGTATCACAATTAAGATGAATTACCACTGTGCAAAGCCATGTAGAGGAAGTCTCCCATTAATCTGCTGTTGGATGTGGCGGCTTTGATTGTAATGGGAGGGATTGTGGTTTAAAGAGCCCAGGAAAGGAGAAGGAAACTGGAAAATCCAGGACAATGATTCATGTCTCATTTTCTACACTTCAACTTGCACATATCTGTTATTGTTCATCTCACAGGGAATTATTAGGAATTGCCTGTTATGGAAGTATGGTACTGTTAAAAATCTGCCAATATATTCTGTCCAGCACATAAGATTAGATGGCAGGTGATGTTATACACACAGAATATTTAACCTTTAATATGTATTCACTTAAAGCACTTTGATCCTTCATAATCATCATATTCAGTATTAAACAACATTAAATTCAATAAGTGATGCATCCAAAGTTTGAGTACTATTGCTTATCATGGTGAATATGGAACATTTAAATTGTGTTGTGGCAATGCTCTTATTGTCCACGGTGTACTTCCATATTGTAAAAAATATTACATGTAGCATATGTTTTTTTTTTTTTTTTGATATAATCATTTGCATGTATTAACATGACGCCATGAGGTTTAATAAACTCATTAATACTCAAACATGTAATGGTGGCACAGTTGGGAAGACGGATTAAAGTAATGAGAAAGAAAGTAAGATGACAAGATGAATGTTAATCTTGTGTTTATGTGTTAAGGAAAAGGCTGGTCAGGACGTGGTCAGCATAGCATAGCATAGCATAGCATAAAGACTGGAAACAGGGGGAAATGGCTAGCCTAGCTCTCTCCAAAGTTCAATATCAATCAAAATCAATATATCTGCAGATCACTAAATAACACATTGTTTCTTTTTTGTTCAGTACAGAACATGTACACTACATCGATCAAGCTAGACCATCATGCATTGCCTGTCGCGGAAGCACTGCAGAAGAAGTCATCTCGCCAACAGGCTAACTGCTAATGTTAGCTGCTAGCTAACTCCTGAGACGTCTCGACTGTGCTGCGGCTCGTCTCTTCCTCTGCCTGAGCAGCAGGATTTCAAAAATTAATATTAAAATGCTTGTCGGGACCATATTTGAAAGCAACACAAACTGACAAAACAATAAGAACAAGTTAATAGATGAAAACATAGGCTACATAATGCACGAGAGATACGTAAAATTGTACAGTTTGTGAGATAGCATGTATTTTTGCCTCATATGTGATGCAGATGCCCTCGTGTTTGTTTATGCAACAGAGATAATAATTACGTCAGTGAGAGAGATAATAATTACATCCAAGTAGTGTCCGAAATGTGTCAACTTCTATATGCACTTATCCCCTTGTGAGTATCTATTTAGCAAACACTATAGTGAGTAGGTGAGTGAGTGGACAATCTGAACACAGCCTTGAACTTATCTATTGACAAACAGCAGTATATCCATCCGCCCGGCATCTCCGGCTTTAGTGTGGGTTATCAGGTACAGGCAACAGGCACAGATGGTATTGACCCTGACAACCTCACTGTAGCCAACGTCTTTACATTTCGTTTTTTTGTGTACAGATCAGAGAAATCAGATACAACGTCCTGATAAATCAGCTTTTCAGATATTGGTGAGTGTAATTTGGTAGTTTGGACAGAGCTAGGCTAATTCTTTCCCTTGTACAGAACACACAGGTATGAGACTGAAAATTGATCCCATCATTTTATTCTAGGAAATATTTTTTTTTTTATATCTATATATTTGCCGCCACATTACCACATTACCTCTTTGGCATTTTTTGTGAAGTATCAGGCCAATGTGGGACCCAAATGTCTGAGACCACTTTCCCACTCACGTGAATAGGACACTGGTCTCAAATTTTGGCCCCCATCGTGTAGCCCAAGACTGATAAAGAAGTACTGCATCTGTTACAAGCCGATGCCACCTGCCACAATGAATTAGTCAGGCTTTCAGTGTTTATAGGAAATGTGACTCTGGGTGACGCTGACATCAGTGTTTGTGTTTCTTAGAGATGGTTTATGGGTTGGAGATGTGATGAGTTATTATATTAACATTCAGCTCTCTGCCTCCAGGGCTGAATTGAAGGAAATGTGACGTACATGGGTGTGCCCGAGTCTTCACACACAAATACACACACTCGTGCCTGATGTTGACTATTTCAAATAATCAAAACGAATGTGGCAAACATTTTGTGCTTTGACTTGTGATATCATTACAGTGCAGTTAAAGTAAATAAGTTGACTAATTAGAGGGTCAGCTCACCCTCCCCACTCCCTAACACAATGTTGGTGAATGGAATTTTGTTTATGGTGCTCACAGCATACAGATACAGTCTTCTCATTATGCTCTGATTGAACTACCTGATATATTTGATGGTCCCTCTAAATCTTATCCAAGAGACATGGCAGACTAAATACTGGATCCTGACAAATCATAGCTTCCCATCTTGTGTTGCACTTGGCCATCAGAAAGGAGGTGGTGGTGGTGGTGGTGGTGGGGTTGCAATCTACTTCGACGTCCCACCAGACATCACCAACATCATCTTTGCTCTTTCCTCCCTCCATTTTAACAGTTGTGCACCAGGCAGTCACACTAGCGTTTTTTGCAGTGTTGGTTGTCCTACACTATGACAATGCTATACTATGGCAATTGTTGCGACCAATGCTCATTCTGCATCAGCTAAATGTTTGTTTGGGGTTCATTGACAGTTTGATAGTCTACTTTCAGTAGTCAAGTCGACCGTCTTACTCTTATTCATTTATTTCACATTTCAGGACATAAATTCCCAGTGGTAAAAGGAAGTTGAACTCTCCTGTTTGACCCTGTTAAGTTTAAAATAGCCTGGACGTGGAAGTATATTTATAGGCAGCATTTGCGTTGCTATGCGTCCCTGTGACACCAGACACTACAACTAAATGGTTTCCTTGCGTCAGAGGAGAACCTACAACACACTTTGTCACTTTTGGGAGATCACCAGCACCACATGCGATCAGCTATAGGCTGGTACCGTATGGGCGCAGAGATCGGATCGGTAACACATTTACGGGACACATGACACAGTGAGACGTCAACTCCCCTGTTTGTCAGGTTGGAGCAAGGCAGACTGAAGCTGGAAAAATTGGTGACTTGATATGAAGTTTGACAGGTGCTCTCCACCAGTGTCTTCAGCCTCTTTACACACTGCTAGCACCTTTTTGTGCCTCACATGGTTGTCATTTCACTCAGCGCCACACTGCCGGGTTAGTGTATTGATAAACAGCAGAGAACTCTAGTCATCTAAGTGGAATTAGTTAAACCACAATGAAGAAGAAATACACAAGAAATATAATGAAAATGTACTTTAGTATGAGTCAATAAGTATTAGCAAAAGAAAAAGTACTCAGTATGTTTTCACAGTTGGAAAAGGAAGGATAGGACAGAAGGAAATAAATTACGATGGAAAGGAGCTTTGGAGGAAAGGAAGAAGGAAAGACAAAGGAAAGACAGGGACAGATAAAAGAAACAGAAAACAAGAAAGATGGGAAAGATATATTTAGAATAGAAAATAAAGAAATCAAGGAAGAAGGGAAGGAAACAAATTGGGGGGAGTGGTAAGAAGGAAGGAAGGAAAGAAACAAAGTAATCCAGAGAGATGGTAAGGAAACAAGGGAAGAAATAAAAGGAAAGGGGGAGGTAAAGAAAGAAAAAAGGAAGAAATCGAGGATGGTAGGAAGGAAAGAAGGAAGGACAAAATTGGCTAGAAGGAAGAGAGAAAATAAGACTAAACTCAGTGAAACTCAGCAACACTCCAGTACCTCAGTACATTAAGTACAACACTTACAGAGCTTCTCTCTAACAAATGAAAAGCCAAACACCGAACAAACTGAAGTCTGAAATTCCAGACTTCAACACAACCGATTGCACATTGTTCAAATCCAACACAATTAAACATAATGAGCTCAGCAGCTTTACAGGGATCCTAGTCGGTTAGGTTCAGTCTAACAGAACAGCTGTGCACACGTAGCGTGAACAGGCTGAAACAGACCTGAGCTGACAGCTTTCTGACCAGCTGACTGGACTGAACTGACTTCTGGTTGTTTTCTAGAAGGACGTGGAGCACAAGAGAAGCCAGATGTTTGATTTGACCCGCTTCAGCTTGTTTGAATGTTAATATTATTCTGCAGTCGTCTGTTGCTGGAGAAGGAACAAAAAGACTGTGTCGATAAGATCTGTTCCAAAAAGGAAAAGGCAAAATCTGAGATAGTTTAAAGTCTAAAGTTTTTTAGACATCAGGAGATGAAGATGACATATTAAAACTAAACTCAGGATATTTTTGTTTAGATTTCATTGTCGTTTATTCGGATGAAGTTTCATTTTGGCTCATACTTCTATTCGTCTATTTCTCCATTATTCATTTCTGTTGGGTTTTGCAATCCTCAGGGGCTGTTTGAAGCGGTACTTTGATAGTGGTGCTTTGGGCTAAATTCTAACACGCATACAACATGCTAATGTTTTAGCAAACATTTGCTAATCAGCACTAAACACATCTGAGGCTGATGAAAATGTCATTAGCTTCCAGGTACTTGGTCATACACTGACAATTTTCAACCTGATTGTGCTGCTAGATGAAAATTTACAGGGATATATAGTTTGGGTTATTGTATGTGGGGCTGTGTGAGGTACTTATCTATAAGCAGTGTGTTACCTGCAGTACATTCAGATTTGCGTGCAGAGAAACGTGCTGCTGTGGATGTTAACATGAGGCCTTCCTACCTAACAAGGGAATTTGTCGCATCCTGTCGCGATAGCGGTATACATCCTTCGCTCTGCCCACGCCAACACGGTTAGTGACATCATCTACTCCACCATAAAAACTGCAAACACGGCCCCCACTATGCAAATTAAATTCAGTCATTATTTTGTAAGTTGGATAACAATATACCCTTATTTATTGTCTGTCATTATCTTTTCATCAACTAATGCACCAAAACATAATGTCCACCTGCCTAATGTGCTGTTGGTCCTTTGCATGCCACCAAAATGGATGGAGATGGTGCAGCTCAGCAAAGCAACGCAGTTAGTTTTGCCTTAACAACAGAACTTCAGAGTAATCAAAAAAACTATTTAGTGCAACAGGCTGCAGATCTGGATACAAAATGTTGTAGCTACGAGCTTTGGGCAGTACCCTGAATCTTTTCTTTCTTTTGGTTTGCACTGTGGCTTTACTTCTCCCACAAGAAGTTAATATAAAAGTGCAAAAGGACACCATTTATGGCTTAAAATCAAAGTGCAAAACCTCTCCGCTTAACACAATAAGAGCCAGCAGTATTTTACAGTGTGACAGTGTCTCTGCACGACAGGCTCTGTCTTTGATTCTTTCATGTGCTGCCAGCAGTTGTTGGAGTGTCTGAAGTGTTGGCTGCCCACAGTCCCTCAGGGGCTGGCGGCTCGGTTCGCCCTCATTCTTCCACATAATAAAGAGACAGCTCTTCCTGACCAGTTCCTCCCATTTTTACAGTAAATCCCACTTCAACAGGACTAGTGTCATATCTAATGTAAAACATTTGCTGTCATAGCTTTACAATAACCCCTACAAAATCAA